GCACTGCAGGGAACGGCACCAGGCGGCCTTTGAGGTCCCCTCCAACTCAAACCATTCTGTGATAATTTTGGGAAATCTTAGCCTACAAATTGCAAGAGGTCTGACAGCCACGTCTGCAAAGCTGTTTCTGTTACTGATGCCCACTGAAGACCCATTCCTGCCCGTACATCAGGCTGTGGGACTGCAGAGTCCTTCCTTTCCAGGTACACACGTGAGCCTTTGCACTACAAAATAACTGCAGGCACCACCATGCATGCAAAACGGAGAGCCCAATTATATGAAAATGCTTCATGTGAATTTAAACGTTAAGTCTAAACGAGCAGAATTTTACTGAGATGTTTGTATGCATATTGAAATGCAGGATGGCCCGAAGCTGTTTGTCTTAAGAGTTTAATGAAAATGCTTGGTTTATTGTGGCACATTGTATGTGTGAATTATAGGTGTGCACAGTGCCAAACAAATGGAGCGTGCTGCTGCACCCACTGCCTGGGGACTCCTGCACACACAGCCTGGGAGCAGTATCAGGTTGGGATCCAAGCAAATGCAGCCCGAACTGCTGAGTCAGTGCATGTGATCTTTGGGATCACAGCTCTCTTGTGGTGGAATCATAGAATGAATCATAGAATGGCCTGGGTTGAAAAGGACCACAGTGCTCATCCAGTTCCAACCCCCTGCTGTGTGCAGGTCAACAACCAGCAGCCCAGGCTGCCCAGAGCCACATCCAGCCTGGCCTTGAATGCCTGCAGGGATGGGGCATCCACAGCCTCCTTGGGCAACCTGTGCCAGTGCCTCACCACCCTCTGGGGGAAAAACTTCCTCCTGATATCCAACCTAAACCTCCCCTGTCTCAGTTTAAAACCATCCCCTCTTGTCCTATCACTACCTGCCGTCACAAACAGCCGTTCCCCCTCCTGTCTGTGTGTACCCTTCAAGTACTGGAAGGCCACAATGAGGTCTCCCCAGAGCCTTCTTGGTGGAAACTTGGTTTGTAGGGTTTGAAATGTTTGAGGGCTTAAATAAATGGGAGTTTGTAATTGAAAGGGTGAGTGCCAGCACCAACATCAGCAGGGGAGGGGTGGCACAGCTCAGCTGATCCTGCCCTCCCCCCCGGACACTTGCAGCACATGGAACACCTTCCTTCCCCTTCCCCTGCATTTTTAACAGAAACACGCAGCCATTTTCATTACTACAGCTCTTGTTGCATAAAGCAGGGGGATTTTCTTCAGGGAGTGAAGAATTGATTCTGAGGTTTCCATTAACTCACGTTAGCACAGCACGGCCGCTTTCAAGGGCCTGATGTTGACAGCTAGCATACTGCAGAAGAAACAGGGTGTTGTCAGTGCCCAAATTCAGTGGAGTTGAGCCAGACCAGCTCCATTCAGGGAGTGCAGGAGGTCAGTGGGATCCAAATGGCACCGCACAGAGTTTGCTGGGGGGGTTCTCATTGAAACACCAACTTCAGGGTGGATCTGAAAGCGCAGTCATTCCTGGTACCATGCAGTGCTCGTGGCAGGGCAACATTTTGCTTTGTGTTCCCATGGCTCAGGGAGCAGGAGCTCACATGGAGCCGTATGACTGATACTGTGATTATGTGGTTGCACCTTGGCACCGCGGTAATTGTGCTAGACAGAGCTGTTTAAATACCACCAGACAGAGTATTACTCACACGAAAATGGGGCCTTAAATGTCATTATTTGTGTCATTATTAATAGCCCCTAATTGTGTTCTCTAATCATTGTGAAATTATGTTAGTATTAATATTCACATCAAAACTGCCTAGGGAACGAGAAGAACTACTTAAAAAAATAATCCCACCATATGTCAATCCCCATTAACGTGAAACACTTGCCTTTTGCATCTATGAGATAGAGAGCAGTGCGGGGGATTTCTCTGCACCTCCAGCTCCTGGAAAATGCTCTGCACCACGAGGTCCCAAGGATCTGCAAACACCTGCAGAGATGTGCACTGTATAAAACTCTGTTGCTGCTTCACAAGGATTTTTTTTCTGCTGGACAGAGGCTCCTATCAGTCCATCAGAGGGAGCAAAGGGTGGGATGAGGTGTTGTGGGTGCCCCATCCCTGCAGGCATGCAAGGCCAGGTGGGATGGGGCCCTGGGCAGCCTGAGATGATGGGGTGCAGCCCTGCCCATGGCCAGGGGTGGCACTGGGTGGGATTTGAGGTCCCCTCCAACCTGAGCCGTTCTATGATTTTATGATCACTGCTCAGCCACGATATGCACAGGAGTGTGGGAGAGTGAACTCATCATGGAGCAAGGCAGTGGGAAGCTGAATTTTCTGTTAACCATGCAGAGATCTGAAAGATGCAGGAATGTTGCAATAGTTTGTAACACTGCTGAGTTACTTTATTTTTCCTTTATGAAGTTCAATCATCACTCCTTTCAGTGTCTAAAGAGGAGCTATAAGAAAGAAGGGGACAGAATTTCTAACAGGGTCTGTTGTGATAGGACATGCAGAAATGGCTTCAGACTACTAGAGGGGAGATTGAGGTGGAGCTGAGGAAGAAGGTTTGGCAGTGAGGGCGGTGAGGCGCTGGCACAGGTTGCCCAGAGAGGCGGTGGTGCCCCGTCCCTGCAGACAGCCAAGGTCAGGCTGGACGGGGCTGTGAGCACTGCTGAGCTGTGGGTGTCCCTGTGCACTGCAGGGAGCGGCACCAGGCGGCCTTCAGCTCCCTTCCAACCCAAACCATGCTGTGATTTACGTTGTATTTTTACCAGTGTGAAAATCCACCTGTTAGAATGATAACAGCACAAGCCCACTGACGAGGTATTTGGAAAAAGCTTCCCAAAGGGATCAGTTTTAGTGGATGTCACTGAAGAACGGAAATCTGAGGATGTTAAGGACATTTGGCACCCTGTGCAATCGAAAAAAACAATTACTGCAGCTCTTCCTCTGAGGCAGCATTTTTAGAAGCCCCATTCCAGGAGGTGACGTGCCCACACATGGCAGATAGCAGCAGAGCTCCAGAGTCTCAGCCCGGGAGATGGGAGGTGCTGGATGGATGGAGTAATGGCCAGGTGGCAGAGAATTATTTTTCTGGACAAAAAATAAATATATATGTATATATATATTTTTCTGCTTTTCCAACTAGCTCTACTTACAAGTACCCAAATGCCTTACTTAATAAAACAGAGAGGTTTCTAAGTGCCAAACTATTACGGCTCGAGTTAAATATAACTCAGAGCATTAAAAATAACTTCAGAGCGCAGACACAGGGAGCTGACAGGAGGTGGGTTTGGAGAGCAGCTCCGACGCTCACGTTCTCTCTGGGATTTGGGACCCAGCGTTGCTCTGTGCCGTGCGGTACCCGGGGTGCGGGGAAAGAAGTCGAGCAGGTATCTGACACTTCGATGTGAACGATTTCCCTATAAAATATTAATGACGTATATATAATCTAATTGCTTCCTTAGGGCAATAACCTCTGACAAAATGGCCCTGATTAGAAGATAATTGAGTGTGTTGAATTGCGTCCTAAGAGAGCTTAATGTTGACAAGGTCCATTATCTTGTGATAATGACCCCCTTTTGTCAGGTGTTAGTGCCATTTAGGAGACGCTCCGGTCGGAATAAATCCTTCCCTTTACCTCTTTTGTCTAATTACGCGGATTATTTTACAAATCAAAGCAAACTTTTGCCTCCTGGGCAGGCCTTGGGCTGGAGGGGAGCGACAGAGCGGGTGGGCAGAGCTCCTGAGAGCTCCGCGTTTACTGTTGCTGCTGGAGATGCGCATCCCAAAGGTCGGGATATAAAGCAGGGAGAGACCCCAGCTGTGTTCTTCCCCTCGGCAGCTTCTTCCTGGAGGGTTCGGAACTTGCTGCCTGGAAATACGCTCTCCTTGCAGCGGGGTTTAGCCAAACGCACACGCTGATGGCAGGGAGGCATCGGGCGAGGACGCTCACTTCTCGCCTCGTGTGCGAGATGAAGACGTCTGCGGTCATTTGCAGGGAAAGGATGCCGTTCAGTCTCAGGAGCTTGCCTTCCCTCCCTGCTCAGGCATGTATTGTAACTATTGTTGTACAACGGGGTGCCTTTGTCGTTCTGAGTATGAGAGGGTATCTAAATGCAAATTTCCCCCCTGTCACTTCCTAACTCGGTAATTCTGGATGCAAGGGCTGTTTCCCAGCGCTTGGCTCTGAACGTAGCTGGGGAGGATCCTGTGCACAGAAAGACGCCCAGAAATCTGCCCTCAAAGCCCAGAGCTCCTTTCAGTCTGGGTAAAGTCTCCCCATCCCAGCTCACTGCGCACAGCTCACCAGCTGAGCCGGATTTTCTCTTCCAACTTGAGAGAATTTTAGATTGTACGTTCTGCAAAGGTTTGGGGGATGGGGGGAATGGATAGGAAACCCAAGAGCTGACCCTGGGTGAGGTGCATGAGCATAAAGCAGAGGAGCTGCTGTTTTCCCCTGAAAACAAATGCCTCCCGTGCTCTCTCTCAGACATGCACGTATATGGACCTTCAAGAAAGCATTAATGTAAAACACCATTGATTTCAATTTATATTAATACACTGTGCAGTGAACTGAGATGGCTGATTCACAGTCCTCATCAGATTTCACTGTGCTGGGTAAATCAGATCCCTTGGTTCACTGTAGTTTAATTATAAGCAAATTGTAAGTGAATTAAGATAAATCGAATTAGAACCACTCTAATACTGAATAAAAACACCCACAAAGGAGTTTGCTAGGGTTTAGCTAATCCGCTTTGAGAGCTAATGGGGATTCATTGGCCTGGGTGTCCCTGCATGGAGAAGTGCTGATGCCAGGGCTGGGTCCTCTCGGCACCTAAAGGGGCTGAGAAAGAAGGGGACAGACATTTTAGCTGGGTCTGTATGATAGGAGATGCAGAAATGGCTTCAGACTACAAGAGGGGAGATTGAGGTGGAGCTGAGGAAGCAGGTTTGGCAGTGAGGGCGGTGAGGCGCTGGCACAGGTTGCCCAGAGAGGCGGTGGTGCCCCGTCCCTGCAGACAGCCAAGGTCAGGCTGGACGGGGCTGTGAGCACTGCTGAGCTGTGGGTGTCCCTGTGCGCTGCAGGGAGCGGCACCAGGCGGCCTTCAGCTCCCTTCCACCCAAACCATGCTGTGATTCCATGGCCATGGCCTCAGTGGAGTACAGAGTTCATCACTGACCAAATAAACCACAAGCGGCCAGATGAGCTATTATTGGGCAGACTGTTGGCCAAATAAACTGCTGTTGAATGGGTAAACCATCAGTCAGATATCTCCACTTGTCCCCATCCTCACCAGGGAAGGGCTGTTCTGTTTTAACAGTGGCAGCCACTGGGGAGATGGAGAACAGGCCCTGAGTGTTGCAAATTAGGTTGAAAGTCTGGAGAAGAGGAGCTGGAACCGACTGATGAGGCACAAATTGGAAGCTGGGGTGGATCTTTCTTTCTTTTTTTCTTTTCCTTTTTTTTTCCTCCCAGGGAAGTGTCATTTGTACAAATTGCCAGTTCGTGCCAGCTTGGGAGAGACCTCACAAGGGAAACCTGGAGCCTTCCCTGCTTTTCATGTGAGCGGATGCCCCTTTTATTTCTGAGCAAGGAGTAAGTGGAGAAGAAAGGAGCCCCTGTCAGCCTCACGGAGACAAATTGCTTCCTGCAGCAGAGGTGGCTCGGCGCTAACAACCACCCACTGCCAGAGGTGAGCCGAGGTGTCCCCACCAGCCCCTCCTCCTGCATGCCCACCCCCCCAGCCGCGGGCTTTTCAATGCAGCCCGGCTCAGTAACCAACCGTCCCTTTCATTTTTATCTGGCCAGAATGATTTACTGGGCCGACGTGTGAAAGTGCACGGGACTCTGCTGCTCGGGTGGCAGAAAATACCTTCCTGCCTAAATGAAATGACCCTCCCAGCGCGCAGGGTTAAAGACAGATGTGGTGCTCTTGTTCCCTGCCTCTTCTACATCAGATGGGCTCTTATCTCCCCACGTGCTCTCCTCTTTGGGAGGAGGTGGGCAGAACAGCCGCCAGAGGACTGCGAGCCCTAAAGTTATTAAAACAGTGCAGGCAACAAAGCAGTGTGGATTCCCTGCAGCTCTGACATTTCCAGAGGGTGAAAGGTAAAAATGCAGGGAGGCTATGTAGAAAACATCGGGCAGTGCTTTTTTGGTTTCTGCCTGAGCTCTGAAAGCAGCTAATTAAATGGGAGGGAGTGATCCACAAAGCAAGTTCCAGGCCAGCCGATAAAAGCAGTGCCCAATGGAGAATGGCTGTCGGGGCTGTGTGTGGATGAAGGCTTCTCCCACTGGGGAATGGCTTGGGGAATGGTTGGGAGTGTGTCTTGCACACAACCAAATGGCTCCATTCACAGCTCCTTGTCATTCACCCTAACTCAGACCCCAAGGCTGGGAGCCAAATGGCACAGAAAGGTTCAACTGATCACAGATAAGCACCAGGAAATGGCACACTCCTGGATGACCATCCCATATTACTCGTTCATCCACAGAGCTCTACAGTTCCTGCCCCATCCCAGCGATGCTCTGGGCTCCCTGCTCTCGTCCTGCAGCAGCCCGTAGGGATGCAGTGGATGCAGCAGCCCATAGGGATGCAGCAGCTGCAGCTGGCACAATGCTGTGTCCCCAGCCACCAAGGGACATGGTGGCATTAGGCACTGCAATGCTTTGGATCTGTGCTCCCAGCAGACAGAAATGATCCCCTGATCTGATTGATCTCGTGTCGGCCGTGTGTCTGCCCACGCCCCATCGCTAATGGCCTCATTAGTTAGGGAAAAGGGGTTGCTGAAGTCAATTTATAATACGTAATAGTGAAAAACAGCCGAATCGATATCTCTGCAGAGTTAGGGGGAGATCAGGGGAGGGACAGGGCCCAGGGGTGAGTTCTGATAACTGATGAGCTTAAAAACTCTGCTCACAGCATCTGTACTCGTGTTAAATACATAATCGGGAGCGCTCCATCCTGATTAGCCAGCAAGGCAGTCAGCACTTACCACTGCCTCTCCTCTCCCAGGGCTGTGAGCAAGTGGAGCTCCTCGTCCTTCCATGGGACCAGGCTGGCATGTCACTGTCACCGCATGCCACTGCCACTGCGTGCCACCACTCCTCCGCGCCCCGCAGCTCCATCGGTGCGGATGAGACGGCAGCTCAGCGGCTCTACCTGCGCCCATGCTGGGGAGAGAAAAACCTGATTTAAGTGGCTCACAAATGTGTGGGTTAAAGGCGCGCTGCTGCAAAGGCAACATGTTGAGAGCTGGAGCCAGATGGATGTGGATGAGCAGCGCAGTGAAAATTATCAACCGCAGGAACAGCGGGGGATTCCCTGCTCCGGGGAGACGTGAAATCAGGGACAGATTTGCTCTCTTGCAGCATGCCCTGGGTCGCACAGGAGTTAATCCAGAGCAGTTGCGATTACGGATTGTGCACTGAGGGATCCTAAACGCTCCCTCTGATCCATGATCCAAAACCACAGCCCCCAGCCACACAGCCCTCTGTGAAACCTCTTGCCAAAGACCTCCATTTAGCGGTAATTCCCTTTATAGCTTATTTTTGCCATGCGGCTGCACACCCCATTGTTTACCCGAGCACACAAGTCCCTGGCTCTTCTCCGTTCCATTCTCTCTCAGCTGGCTGCCATCGAGCTGATTTCCCCCTCCTCCTGTGCTCTGCCACAGAGCCTAAATCGACACATCTGTTTTTAAAGAGAGGAGCAGTCCCATCATCCTCACTTTCAGCCCTGCACATTCAACTCCTGCAGCCTCCATGGGGCTGCCGTCACCGTGTTTGTGTAGGGCCTACAGAAAACGGGAGTGGGAAAACAACAGTGTAACATTACATGTTTGGTTTTGGTTTTTTTTTTCTTTTCTTTTTTTTTTTTTTGGAGCATCAGGTTTCCTTCATTGCAGCAGCAATAAGATGTTTCCAGCTTCTTTCTGTCTTCTGATTGCGCTGAGAGCATCCTGCAGAGCAGAGCGTTCGCTCACAGCCACAACCAGCTCTGAAGGGCTCAGAGCCAGCAGTGAGCTGGCTGCTCAAGTGCAGAGCAGACTTGGCTAAAGAGGGAATGGACTGATATGCCCCCAAATGTCAGCCCTGGCTCCTCACCAGCAAACCATCCTTCAGCTTGCGTGTGTTTTGCACTTAGGGCAAACCAACGTTTAGATGGAAAGTGGGTCAGCATGAATGCTTTGCAAAGGGGAAATGAAGACCTGGAGGGGTTTCATCCATCCCACATCCAGCAGAGCTCCTGGCCAGGTCCATCCTGCTTGAGGACATCTTTCCCTGCCCATTAGCTATGTTAATGAATCTGCATCCCCAGCACCCTGCTGGTTCATGCCCCTTGTTGCCATCTCCCCTTTCTCTTGCCGTTCTTTTTCCCCCTTAGAAATTTTGCATTTCTAGCCTGCTTGTCATATTTCCTACCGGATTGGGTGTTTAATTAAAATCATAATTAAAATTGATCTCCTCATTAGCATGCACCTGCTCTACTGCTCGCGTCCTGGCATTTAATTATACGCTGAAGATGTCAAGTCTGACAGGCGAGAACGAGACCCGGCCAGCAACCCCTGACAGGACTTCTTGGTGACAACATCTGGGCAACGGGGACCCATCTGCTGGCACAGCCGGGCAGCAGGACATGGTGCTGGAATGCTGGCAGGGCTGCCATTGGTTTTGCTGGGGTTACCTTTTTATTTTAATAGCAGGATAGTCACCCGCACTTCCTACTGGAAGTTTCCTAAGCCAAGAACTGGGTGGTGAGGATGGGGATTAAGTGGACACTGAGCCCCCCGTGCTCATGCTGGTCAGGATACGGTGCCTAGAGAGTTGTGCCATCCCTTCTGCCATCAACACACGATCCTCAAGGTTTCCACCGTGGACATGCACAGCTTTCTCTCCTCTTCTTGCTCACCAAACTCTATCAAAAGCCAAAAAGGGGATCCCTGCACCCCTCCAAAAAGGTCCAGTAGCATGTGGTGCTTCCACTGTCCTGCTGGAAATAGGGCCGCCCCTTTGGGTAGTTATCAAAGAGATTATCAGAATGGTTTCTGTGCACAGCAGAAGCTTAAATCGCATCTGCTCTTTTTCTGTACATGCCAGGCAATAAAGCTGCCAAAAGGCATTTTTGGGGCCATTATAAACGAGGAGTTTTATTCCCCTGCACTTTCAGAGTCTCTAACTGATGGATGAAGTTTCAGTGGGACTCATGAAACGATGACAGCTGACGCCAAGCAGACCCACCAGCTCCAGCATCCTTGGGAGGGCTCAGTGGGAGCTGCAGGTATTTGGGGCTCCTTCTCCCTTTCCTTTTCCCCTTCCCAAGCACCAAGACCCACAGCCCACAGCTGTTGAGACTCCAGCCCAGTGTTCTGCAGTATGTAATTGACGGCACTCATCAAAATAGCTTCTAATAAAGAGTGAGGGTGGGAAGACTTTTAAATCTCCCCTCAGTCACTCTCACTGTAAGTGATGCTCATCGTTTATCCCCAGCCAGGACCAGCTGATAATGCTGAGCAACGTGCTCGCATGTATCAGGGAGAGATGATGTGGAAACAATACCTTAAGGTGCTGTTGCCCTTCCATTTTTATGGCTCCTTATGAGGCTGGGGCCATCAAATGCCAGACACAGAGACCTTCGTGCAGCAAGAAGCAGAGCCGGCTGGAGCTGAGGCTGCAGCTTTATGGCATCCCAACACCAAAGCTGTGGAGGGTATTTTGTTTGAGCGGGGAGCACTGGGGATGTGGTAGGCACATGGGGGCCTTTGCTGGAACAAGTTGTTTGTGTGAAGTGTCACATGTGGCCAGAGCCTGGAAAACAGATGTTCCCATTTTTCTTTAAGGACGCTGTTAGCAGTAGAGGGCTTTAACAGTAACAAACACTTCAATTAAAAAATATATATTAAAAGCAACAATCCAACCAGTAATAACCGTTTGACTACTCCTTAGAAAGACAGCGAGTCCCATTAATCATAAATAAGGCAGTTGAACATTATGAAGAAAAATACACAACCATTAATAGCCAGACACCAATACAGCATCCCATTGGGGAACATTATTTACGAGGCTATATTGTTATCAATCCTGCTGGGAAAAATTCTGTTGCACGAAATGAGATACAGGAAGACTGCAGTTTATGTGGGATGGAGTAGGGGTTCGTCAGTCAGAGCCAGCAGTGAACGTCGATGGTGATGTACGTTGGCTGAGGATGAGGCTCTAATACTCACTCTGCAAGGCAACGGAGTAGGGTTGTTCTGCCAGATCCTGGGGTGCTTCATTTGCAAATTCTCAATGATTTTAATGAGATTTTGCATGAGTAATAATTCATCAGCCTTGAGTAGAGGCCAGGGAGGAATTAAATGTGGGCATTTGCAAGGTTGCCGAGCTGGAGAGGGGGTGATATTGTGAAAGGCCATGTGCTCAAGAGCACAGAAGAGCAGAACCAGCCTGGAGCAGTGGAACAGGGAGGACTGGAGGCAAGAGTGAAAAATGGAGCCTAAATAAACATTTGTCATTTGATTTCTAATTACACAATTACGTAAATGTATGATATTAGTAGTCAAGAGCCTGGAGTTTTCCATAAAGAATCCCTAAAGTAAATAAACGTTTTTGAGCAATTACATCCATGGGATGAGATTTTTAAAAACAAAATCTTGAGACGAGTGCAGAAGGCAAGAAGGAAACCTGGGGGAGGCAACCAGAGAGATGAGATGGGTGCCAGGGCATGGGATGGTGGGGAGCTCAATACCTGCAGAGTAATCAGTGCAGATCAGTGGTATGAAAGGACACTGCCACCTAATTACAACAGAGATTAGCTTGAAGATGCCACGCAAGGGCATCAGTCGCAATGAAAGCACGGAATATAAAGAAATAAATGTATGTGTAAAAACGAGCAAAAACAACAGTCAAGAACAAAACCCAGGCCTCGCATTAACATTCAATAATTAAATATTTATCAGAGCTGAGGAAGTAAAATCCATTTACTGTTTTGGGCGAGTGGCAATCTTTCTTTTAAAAACCCTTTTGCCATTAGTTCCTTCCTTCCTCAGAGATGGGGCCACTGAAATAGTCTTCAAGTCTGTCTCGAACAAATTGCAGAACATTTTCCTGTCTGATTGGTATGTGCGTGCACAAGTGTTTCAAAGAACTTTCTTTCTTTAGCTCAGATCTTCACGCTGAGTGTCCTTAATGACTGGTTGCTATGGGTTCTGCAGGCTGGAGGAATCACTTCGTTAATGCTTACCATTAACCCAGGGATTATCATAAGGATGATTCCTGGCTTGTATCAGAAATAGTGTTGCCAGCAGGAGCAGGGAAGTGATCATCCCTCTGCACTCAGCTCTAGTGATGCTGCACCTCAGCTCTGGTGCTCGGCGTTGGGCCCCTCGCTGCAATGCAGGCGTGGAGGCTGGGAGCGTGCAGAGAAGGGAACGGAGCTGTGAGGGGTCTGGAGCACAATGGGGTGCGATGGGGAGCGGCTGAGGGAGCTGGGGTTGTTCAGTGTGGAGAAGAGGAGCTCAGGGGAAACCTCACTGCTCTCTGCAGCTCCCTGAAAGGAGGTTGGGTCAGCCTCTTCTCCCATGTAACTAGCGATAGGGCAAAAGGGAATGGCCTCATGTTGCACCAGGGGAGGCTCAGGTTGGACATGGGTCAGGATTTCTTCTCCAAAAGAACGGTTGGGCCCTGGAACAGACTGCCTGGGGAGGTGGTGGAGTCACTGGCCCTGGAGGTGTTCAAGAAACGTTTAGAGGTGGTACTGAGGGATGTGGCTTAGTGGGGAAATATTGGTGAAAGGTGGACAGTTGAACTGGATGATCTTGGAGGTCTCTTCCAACCTTAATGATTCTATGATGGCTTCCTATATTTTCTTTATCCTTGGTAAGGGATACAAATTGCTGCACCTAAGCAAGACAAATTCACCTAAGTTCCTTCTGTTCAGTTTTGGGGTGAGCTCTGCTTTGATCACTCCCGTTTGATTTCTGAGATCCATAGTCAGGACACAGCTCTGCTGACATCCGTCACGTTGGGCACTGCACAGGAGCACAGGCACTGCTGGGTGGGATGAGGGCTGCCCAGGGGTCTGCACCTCTGCAGCACGGTGGGACAAGGATGTGGGATGGCAATGAGAGGCAATGCCTGGCAAATGGCACAGCGGTGCTGGGAGAGCCACTGCTTCCTCACCATTCTCTAAAAGCCAGGACATGGAGCGTTGTTATGAAATTTCACATCTGAGATAATTGCATTAAGGTAATTGCCACTACAGCATTATTTTCCGTTCCTGGGAGAGAATGAGAGGAGGGCTGAGAGTATTGTGTCTGCGTTAGCAGATTAATAATTACAGCCCTTTGGAACATTGCTAGTTTGTATAGATTCACAGCTGCTGGCTCATTACGAGGCAAAGTTGAAGATACCCTATAGGAGCAATATATGGCTTTCTGCACAGTTTGTCTCTGCTGCTGCTTGGTTGTTTTCTCTATACTTCCATCAGCTTCCCAGCTTGTTAGAAACAGGAGACATTTACTACCTGAAGAAACCAAAAGTTGGAACAGTACAGAATGGCAAAACACCATCGTTTACCTGGCCAACCTGCATGGAAGGAAACATTCAGTCTGACACCATATCAGAGCAATTCCATCCTTCAGAGGAGCTGCTTCTTGTGCACAAGGTAACTAAACCTCCAATACCTCCCGTGAAGGATGAGATGTATGAACACATTCCTGTGCTGCTGAAATGCAGCCACACCATAGCCACTGTTGATATGCTGCTAAGAAATGGAGGAGAGGAAACAGAAGACTCCCATTGCCCATAGGAGGGGATGAATAATTTAGGATGCAACCAGAGTGGGTAAACTCATAATTGCAACAAAGATAACACGAGGACTCTGATCATCACGCAGCACAAGGGAATGTCAGTTTTATATCCCATCTAATAGAGCGCATCCCCAGCCACAAATAGGAGCAGCCTAGTGTGAATTCAAGGCAAACCTGGAAAAGGACAATGACTGCGTGCAGAAGCTGCTGCTCTCTTTAGCTCAGCCGCCTGATTAGAGTGAATTGAAAAATAAAAGCATAAATTGTGAAAAGAAAATTAGATTGATAAATTGATTTCAATTTTCACAATCTGGGATGTAACACAGCAAAGAATTCATCTGAAAGCTAAGAACTCTGTCTTCCCTAATGGCGTCTCTTTCACATATTGATTAATGTCTATATAAAGCATACCATCTAATTTAGGGCACAGTAAAACAATATTCTATTTCTTCTGCACAGCATCTTAAGGGATTTAACTTAGAATGTTAGCATACAGCAAGAATCTGTCATTGCTCTTATGGCAGAGCACAGAGAAGCGATGTAGGGAGGTCAGCAACAAGTGGGGAGTACAGACCTGAATAGGGGTCTGCACACACACCCATCACAGCTTTTCCCTTTGGGGAAGAACACGGGGCTGGTTGGAGCATCTCCAGGGCTGGTGAACCCCACCAGCATTGCACAGGGACGTGGGATCAGCTCTGAGCTCGCTAAGCCCATGTCAGAGCCACAGTGTGCCCACACGGCCCCGCAGCTTGACCTCCATGCATCAGAAATTACATTCCAGTCTCTGTACAACACCCAGTGGAGTATCAGCACCGAACACCTACAACCACTCAGCGGAGGAAATAGGATGACAGCTACATCTGTAATACCCAGCAGAGGAGAGGAGGCCACTTTCTCTCTCTCTCTTTTCTTTCTTTTTCTTTTTACATATGCAATTATAGTGCTGAGCATTATTTGGATTTGCCTCTACAGCTGCTGCTGTCCTGCAGTGTGCTCCAGCCAAATTACTTTTCAGAAATGACATTTCTACTCACAGCAGCACAGCCTGGCTTCCCTCAGAACGGGAGGGAAGGGGACGTAATGACTTCAGCATTCCTTTTTCCAGCAAGGCAACCAACTTACAGGCAAAGGGCTGCGTGCACTGCCTTGCAGCTCTATAGCAGAGCGAGCTGAGGCAGATCCATCACAGCTGGAGGACTGGGTCGGGAGTCACTGCTTAAATAGTAGTAGTTAATCTGGCTGTTTAATCTATTAATTCCCATTTATACTTCACTATCTCATTACCTATCCATCAAGACTAATTATACCATGCTCATTATCCTAGCATCTGATGCCCTCCAACCATTTTTATACTGTCACAAGAATGCTTACAAACTTTTATTGGTGTGGCACGCGTTCCTCACTGAGCAGCACACCGAGCAGCAGCATTCCATAGGACTGCAGCATCACGGAATGGTCTGGGTTGGAAGGGAGCTGAAGGCCGCCTGGTGCCGCTCCCTGCAGCGCACAGGGACACCCACAGCTCAGCAGTGCTCACAGCCCCGTCCAGCCTGACCTTGGCTGTCTGCAGGGACGGGGCACCACCGCCTCTCTGGGCAACCTGTGCCAGCGCCTCACTACCCTTATTTCCCAAAGCCAAACCCTTGTCTGGCTTTTACTTAAGCAAAGAGCTCCCTGAAGGATCGCTGGGGTGCAACGTGTTGTCAAAGATGATTTTATACATTGTTGTCTTTAGAAGAGCTGTGAGGTATCAAGACGTGTAGTGAGGTCTTTGCCAAGCTTACCATTAAATTACCCTTTCCTGCAGCCGTGCTAATTGCAAACCCTTGGCAGGAAGAAGGCTGCTATCGTTTTTTCAGTCATGTATACAAGAGAAGCTCCAAACAAATCCTGAATCCTGTCCTGTGTTCCCAGTACTTTATTTTACTTTTCCGCTGCCGTTCCCTCAAGCTTTATGCTTCACAGTAGGGGGGAACCTGCTGCATTCATTTATACCTGTTTCTCATCTGTTTAAGTGGTGAGGGTCTGTCAATGCAAGGAAGCTTCATTGATTTATTGTAAGATTGGCAATCACACTGCTGGT